CATCCATGGACTCTTAGTTTCTGCAGTACCTCTATCCAGGACCTTCTGGCTTTCATGGTTTCCATAGAGAAGTCCGGTGTGAGTCTGATAGGTTTACCTTTATAAGTTACTTGCCCTTTTTCCCTTGCAGCTCTTAATATTCTTTCTTTAATCTGTATGTTTTGTGTTTTGATTATTATATGGCGAGGGGATGTTTTTTTTTGATCAAGCCTATTCGGTGTTCTGTATGCTTCTTGAACCTTCATAGGAATATTATTCTTTAGATTGGGAAAGTTTTCTTCTATAATTTTGTTGAATATATTTTCTGGTCCATTGATCTGCAGTTCTTCTCCTTCTTCAATCCCTATTATTCTTAGATTTGGTTTTTTTATTGTGTCCCAGATTTCTTGAATGTTTTGTGATGAGAATTTATTGGATTTGCTGTTTTCTTTGATCAGATCATTTATTTTCTCTATGGTATCTTCAGACTCTGAGATTCGTTCTTCCATCTCTTGTATCCTATTGGTTATGCTTGATTCTGTAGTCTCTGTTCGTTTACCTAGATTTTCCATATCCAGCCGGCCCTCGTTTTGTGTTTTCTTCATTGCCTCCATTTCAGTTTTCAATTCTTGAACTGTTTCCATTACCTGTTTGATTGTTTTTTCTTGGTTTCCCAATATATCATTCATGGATTTACTCATTTCTTCGATTTTTTTTTGTATTTTTCATCCATTTCTTTACTCATTTCTTCAATCTTTTTGTTATAAGATTTTGTTATAGATCTCATCAAGTTCTTTAAGGGAGTTATTCATATCCTGTTTAAGGGGTTCTATTGCTTTCATAATGGCATTTTTTCCCGCTTCTTCTGAATTAAGAGGTTCAAGTCCTTCTATTGTAGGGTCATTGGGTTCTGGTGTTTTCATGTTGTTTTTTAGATTGTTGGAGGAGTTCTTGCCTTGGCGTCTGCCCATCTCTTCCTTCAAATACTCTCTACTGGATCTTCTAGTACCAGGTCAGGTTCCCTTGTTGGGCAGGGAATTCACTGACAGAAGGCCTACCTTTCCTCAGGCAGTCTATTGACAAACAGGCACTCCCTACTACCGGGTTGTACTCACAACCCAGGTCCAGCGAGCAAGGGAGTTGCTCTGGGGAGATTTTGTGGCCCCAGAGGGAAGGGGGGAAGAGAGGAAGGTGTACCTGGATAAAGGCTGGGAGGGGATTCAGGAGAGCTCCGCAGGGAGGAGTCGCCTCTGCCTGGTGACCAGATTGTCGAGGGGGGCGGGGAAAGGCTGAATTCCTCCTAGAGGGAGCCCTCTGGCCAGGGGAAAACTCACCCCACCTCCAATGGAAGTCTGCTAGAAGTTCACTCTCTCTTGCTGGCCAGGAATGTGATTGAGCTGAGACAGGGCTTACCTGTCCTCAGACAGGCTCTCAAAGCACCTGAGCTGCCCCTGCCGGACCGAGCCCACAGACCAGGCCCAGCGTGCAAGGGAGCAGCTCTGGGGAGATCTTGTGTCTCCAGAGGGGAGGGGGGAAGGCAGTGAGATAGTTTAGCACGTAAAAACAATTGCCATGAAAGCCTAATGGCTTGAGTTTGATTTTAAGAATCAAATAAAGGTGGGAGGAGACAATTTACTCCATAACATAAAGCTTGTTCTCTGACCTTCACACACATAGCACACATGCACTGTGGCAACCATGCTGTAGCACATATGCCCATTCATACACACCACACACATACACAATATGGTATTAAAATATTTATTAAAAATTCTTTTAAATTCTATCTTGATAAAAGGAGAACACTGTCTATAAAAGGGAACCCACTGTGAAGGAATTCATCATGCCTTTGTAACATCTACTAACTTCCTCTACCTTAATAATGATACATTATTTTATTAAGGTACTTAACTTCCTTCTGGTATCTCTTCTGCCTTAGGTGAAACTAAACTCACCTACCAATACTGCAGTGGCTCAATCTCATTAACTTTCCCAGTATTTGTATCAAGACTAACAATCAGGGCAAACTAGACTGAAAAGGTTTCTTGGTGGCTTCTAAGGAAAGTTATTCATTGATCTAGAATAAATTTTAAAACCAAAGTTTTCTATTTTTCCCATGAATGCTGTGGTATATAAATTCCTATGAACATTGGTATATAAAATTATATGATAGTACATAACTGTCATAGTACTTGTTCTGAAGATAAAGTATAAGGCATGAAAAAGAAAATATGATAAAATTATACAGAAATAAAACTTATGTCACAAGATCAACCCTGAAAGTTTCACCCCATTTCTAGACTTCACTAGGTGAACCAATTAATTTAATTCTTGATTTTATTTTGTTTGTAGTCCCAATCATCATAAATGATAAAATAATGGAGGCCATGTGAAGATTATAGTTATATTCACATTGACTGGAAGGTGGCTCAGCAATTAAGAGCACTAATTGCACTCCAAGAAGACCCAGGTTCAATTCCCAGCACACACATTGAGCTCACAACTATCTGTAACTGCAGTTCTAGAGGATACAACACCCTCACACAGATATGCATGCAAGCAAAAAACCAATGCACATAAAATAAAAAATAAAAAATCATATTAATGTGTATTTATACCCTATGCTAGTCTGATTCAGCTTCTATAACCAAAGGAATGAGGGCTGGGCCTATTACATGAAAACCCTAGACATTAGTGAATGATGTAATTTACAAACTTCTTCCGTGGACTGTCATAAAAAAAATCAACTTTTAGGAGGAAATATTTCCCCCCGTAAACATCTTGAGTCATCATCTATGGAAGAGCACCATTTTTGACCATTGTAGAAATTATCCTTTAAAAGATTTGCTTGTGATTACTACTTAACTTTTACACTCAAGATTTTTAAAAACATAATGTGGGTACAAATGTGTGTATTAGAGTTTCCCTTTGCTGTTGTTTTTTGCTCCTGAAAACTAGAGACAAGATTTCACAGTAAAGTTTATAATGCAATTTTTTTTCACTTGCTGTGGAATGGTAACTGTGTACCTCAGCAAGGATAAGGTAGAATGCTCTTATTTCCTTTTTATTAGACGTGTCTTCCTACATTAGAGAAACTAGGAGAGCCAACACAGAGACAATAATGAGGAATTAGGTCCTATTATCTTTTTCCTGGGTCTTGAGAGGGTGAGCCTCATGGAAATGTAGTATATAAGGCAGCACGACTATGACAATGAGAGGAAACAAGGCAGTAAGTGTCCCCTCTGTGAGAAAGAGAACAGGGAGAGGTTAGATTTGCTATGACAAATAAGATCTAGGGTGAAATTAGACATTGAAAAGGCCTAAGTCCGGTGACATTTGTGGTGATGTGATATGTGGTGTCCTTCTGAATATGTGTTGCTTTATTGGTTGACGAATAAAGCTGTTTTGGCCAATGGTTTAGCAGAGCAAAGCCAGGTGGGAAGTCCAAACAGAGATATGTAGAGAGAGTAAGCAGTCAGAGAGCCACCATGTAGCTGCCTGAGAAAGATGCCAGGACCCTACCCAGTAAGTCACAGTCTCATGGCGATGAATAGATGAATGGAAATGGGTTAATTTAAGATGTAAGTGCTGGCTAGGAATTCACCTAAGCTATTGGTTAAACAGTGTTGTAATTAATATAGTTTCTGTGTGATTATTTGGGTCAGGGACGCCAAGAAACGAAAGAGCAGTCTTTGTTTACAGTGATGCATGGAAACTTGTCAGTCACTTGCCTGACTTTTGCTAGGATAAAAAATATGAGGGCCTAAATCCAGTTGAACTGTGAAATCATGAATACCAAGGCTTCCAAATTCTATTTATTACTAATTGAAAATGCTCAGATTCCCAGGCAATTTATACCACTTCTCTTTTTTCATTTTTCTTTTCCTCTTCCCTGCTCTTCTTAAAGCATTTGACATTTAAAATAACAAAATTGGGGTGAATCACAAGAATGTACAAGGAAGAAATTAGAAGGTAAATTACTAAAGTCAAACAATGAATCAATGCTGAAATAACCATATAATATGATACCAACACATGGAACATTTGGAAACTCAGCCAGTGCCAAATATCAGGATTCCTAGGATTCTATACAAAGAAATTTTCTGTCTCCTAGGTAGTAAGCAAACAAATCAAGGCAGTGCTCTAGATACTGTCAAGACTTCTGGAAATCCCACATCTGGCAAAATATTATTCCCAATGAGCTCAGCACGTTGTTTACACAACAGTGAAAAGAGAGAACAAAATGAGAACTATGGAAAGGCACACTGACCAGAAGCAATGTCCTATTGTACAACATCCCCAATCCCTAGCTACCCCTTTAAAGTGATGACTATGGTGCTGGAAATTTTGACCACTCCCTGAATGCTAGCATGTATATTAGCTCGGTCTCTATAGTTTGTTCTCTCCCTAGTTAAGCAAAATGGCATATCAGTAGAGCCTGTCGTCAACCAGGCTTTAAACTGTTTTGTTCTCACGGTGAGAGACACCAGAATATCAGAAAATTTACTTCCTCATCAGTAATTGGCACTGTGCCTGAGACCAATTATGTGGTTAGCTGGTTAGATCAGTTCTTGGAGGCCTCCAATGAATGTCTCTCCAAAATTGTCCTCAGAGACCACTTAAATGCATCATCACATTATTTCAGTTAATGTCCAAAGCTACACTACAGATAATGCCAAGAAACCATCTATTTTATTCCCCACCCCCACTGTGCTCAGCCATATTGTGCCAGATGAAAACATCAGCACAATCTAAAGATTTCAGTTCCGAAACAATAAAATGTACCACCACCGGTTTTTCACTTCAACAATTTCACATTTTGCATTGCAAATAACTTTTTACCACATTATTCCTTTGCTAACAGATGTTTGAAATCCCAGATGCATAGCACTAACTTTCTCCTGTGTTTTCTTCTAATTCTACTTCTTTCAAGTTATTTTCTTATTTTAAAATTTTTATTCATTTTACATACAGCAGCTCCCCTTTCCTTCCTTCTCTCCACAGCCTCCACCCCATCCACTCCTCAGAAATGGTAAGACCTCCAATGGGGAGTCAACAAACCTCATTTAATACATATTTTCTATTCTCTTTCAACCACTTACTTACTACTTTAAGGCCCAAAATACAAGGTAAGTTTGAATTATATAATAGAAAGAAATTGTATTAGCACCATTTTCGTAGTGGTAACGTGGGATTTTACATTGAAAAATGTCCCAATGAATATATGCTAATCAGGTAAAAAGGAAGAAAACCTTTGATTGCATTGTTTACTTTATAATTTTTCTCTATTTCAGCATCTTAGTATAAATTTCATAGCAAGTAGCACAGTAACTGTGACGGTTTTGATTGTTTGCTTGTTCAGTTTTTTGAGACAGGAACTTTCTCTGTTGCCTTTGTTGGCTAGGAACTCATTCTATATCCCAGGCTGGACTAGAACTCATTAAGTATCCCAGATTTGTCTTGAAGTAATAGAAATTCTCCTGGCTTTGCTTCTGGAGTGCTGAAATGACAAGTACATGCTACTACACTCAGATGTGTTTGTGTTTATGTTATTTATTTATTTATTATGTAGTCTAGGCTGGATTCAAAATGATGGTTCTCCTACCTCTGTTTCTCATGTGTCCATATTAAATTGTTAGGAAATAAATAAAAATAGACATGGGATAATGGATCTTTGGATCATGAATAGAGAGATTTGTCACAATTATTGCAGCCTATAATCTTATCTTCATGTTGATGGCATTTGGCTTGCTGTGGCACAATTAGTACTTGGCTATACAAAATACACAATTTCCAGTTGAAGCTCTCAAAAATGTTGCAACAAAGAAATAACTTAATACAATCAATTTTTTGTCTTAAGAAGACAAACTATGTTTTCTATCTTACCTTAAAATTAGTTTTTTTAAGTTATGATTCGTATTTATTTTTTTCTTAAATGTAAAAGAAAATTTTTTGCACAGGATATTTTGACCAAAATTTCACTTTCCTCATCACCTCCCAGATCTCCCCACCACTTTATCAATCCAACTCTATTCCTGCTTTCTTTAAAGTATGTTTTTGAGTGTTTTGTAAAATATATTTTGACCATATTCACTTCCCACCTCTCAGTTTTCCCCAGATTAACCTTTTTTCACACCTAAATAACTTTGTGTCATTTCACAGCTACACCTTTTATTTTTATTTTTTTATTTTAATTTTTTTTTTCATTTTATGCTGGGTAGTGGTGATACACGCCTTCAATTTCAGCACTCAGGGAGGCAGAAGCAGGCGAATCTCTGTGAGTTTGAGGCCAGCCTGGTCTATAAGAGCTAGTTCCAGGACAGGCTCCAAAGCTATAGAGAAACCTTATCTCAGAAAAAAAAATTATTAATTTTACATACAAACCACAGTTCCCCCTGCCTCTCCTTCCTCTCCATCTTGTTGGCGGGGTTCTGCCCGAATCTGCGCTTCCCTTTTCCCGATACAGGACGTGCGCTTTCCCGTATCTCGCCACAAGCTCGGGGCAAGGTTCTAGGGGTTAAACAAAGACGCACGCACACACAGAGAGATCTGGGTCATTTGCCCAAAGGTAAATGCCAACTTTTATTCAGAATTTGCCAGGTTAAATACCCCTTCCTCAGAAGAGCAAACCCCCTCCCAGCCAGGTGTGAGAAAGCAGCGCCATCAGCTTGGTGCCCCTGAGAAATTCCTCTGCAGGCAGGGGAGTGCTAGCAAGAGTTTAGCAACAGACAGTTTAGAGAAGATTTAGGAATCCTCCTTAGCAGGTGAAATTACCATACCAAAGATGAAACAAGGCTCTATGCTAATCCCCTCCAGCTAGCAGAATCGAGCAGAGGAAGCTAAGCTGGTTAGCATAAACATTTCTTGCATCCTGTGCTTTGGCCTCGAGGAGCAGGGAAGACAGGGCCCTATACCATCTCATCCTACCCCACCCCTCATCCACTCCTCAGAAAAGTAAGGCTCCCAGAGGAAGTCAACAAAGTCTGTCACATCACCTGAGGTAGGACCAAACTCCTACTCCCCATAGCAAGGCTGAACAAGGCATCCCACCCTAGGAAATGTGCTCCAAAAAGTCAGTTCATGCACTAGGGATAAATCCTGGTCCCACTGCCTACAGTTGTCATCCACATGCAGAAGACCTAGTTCAGTCCCATGCAGGCTCCCCAACTGCTGTCCTAAAGTACATGGGTTCCCATGAGCTTGGGTCAGCTGCCTCTGGGCCCCATAATGATCTTAAAACCCCCTTGCTCATACAATCCCTGCCCCTCTCTTCTACTGGATTCCTGGAACACAACCTGGTGCTTGGCTCTGGATCTTGGCATCTGCTTCCATCAGTTACTGAATGAAGGTTCTATGATGACAATTAGGGTAGCCACTAATCTGAGTACAGGAGAAGGTCAGTTCAAGCAATGCTCCACTATTGTTAGGAGTCTTATCTGGGTTTATCCTAGTGGATCCCTGGGAATTTCCCTAGCACCAGGTTTCATTCTAACCCCATAATGGCTCCCTCTATCAAGATATCGCTTTCATTGCTCTCCTTCTCTATCCCTCCATCAACTAGAGTATTGTCAGCCAAAACGGCGAGCTGGTAACTGTAACAGCCTACATTAATTAGTGGGGGCAATTCAGGATATTTAATCCTAAAAAAAATTAAAGAAAGAGTCAAGTACCTAGAGTAGGATTTTTCTATACGTTTTTCCCAACATTTGCCTAACAGTCAAGCCTACCTTGGAAGTTCTAAATAGCCAGACTCTTTATTATTTCTCTTTCTCATAGTTCCATGTTTTGAGGATTATGTCAAAACCCACTTTTATCTGAGGTTATCACATCCTTTCTGGACAGAATATTTCACATCTGTCCTAAATGTTCAAAGTCTTCCCACTATTTTTTTACAAATATGATTTCTACAGACAGTTAACAATAATTCTTTGGCCATTGGATTTGTGAGTAATTTATATTCCTTTGTACCCCATGGAGATCACTCATCTTTTTTGAAGTTCAAATTCCACTTTCTCTGTGGTATGTGTGAATATATTTTCTGTGCCTTTGAGATGAACTTCTTCTCCTTCTTCAACTCCTTTTATTCTTAGGATAGGTCTTTTCATGGCATCCTAGATTTTCTGGATATTTTGTGTTAAGAATTTGTTGGATCTAAAATTTTCTTTGATCAGTGAATCTATTTCCACTACCATATCTTCAATGCCTGAGATTCTCTCTTCCATCTCCTATATTCCGCTGTTGGTTTGTGACTATAGTTCCTGATCATTTATCCAGATTTCCATTTTCATAGTTCCCTTGGTTTGTGTTCTCATCATAGCCTCTATTTCAGTTTTTAAGTCTTGAACCATTTTCTTCATCTGTTTGATTGCTTTTTCTTGGTTTTCTTTAAGGGCTTTGTTGATCTCTTTCAATTTTTTGTCTTTTCTTCCACTTCCTTAAGAGAACTTTTCATTTCCTCTTTAAGGACCTCTATTATCTACATAAAGCTATTTCTAATGACGTTTTCTTCTGCTTCATCTGTGTTGGGGTGTTCAGGTCTTGCTGTAGAACCACTAGTTTCAGGTGGTGCTCTATTGTTCATTGTGTTGTTGAGTGTATTCTTACCCTGTTGTCTACCCATCCCTTCCTCCTATTGATACAGGTGGAGCCTGTGCTTTGGGGGATCCCCTCTTCCTCCAATTGGTATTGCTGGGGCCTGTGGCTCCGTTGAACACTCCTTCAGTTGCAGGCAGGGTTGAGCCTCCAGTGATCGCTCCTCCACTGTGTATATGGGCTCAAGGCTCAGCTGCTTGCTCCTCTTGGTGCAGGTGCCCCCCCCCCCGCCCCCAGCTCCGATGGTCTCTCCTCCAGGTGCAGGCAGTGCCGTGGCTCCAGTGATTGCTCTTCTGTTTGCAGGCAGGGCTGAAGCGCCAATGGTTGGATAGTTTTTGGAGGCCACTGCTGTCACCATGGCCCACCACATTACTGACGCTGGCTCCTGGCATGACCTGGGCCTGCTGCCTCCTCACGCTGTTGCTGGCTCCTGGAGCAGCCTGGACCTGCTGCCAATTGAGAAATTTTGTATCTTAAACTTTGTAGTCTTTTATTCTCTGGTACACTGGCTCTTGGTTTGTGCAGTTATTTGTCCTTGTCTCTGTCAAATTAAGTATTCCTGTTTCTCTTTTTCAGCCTGTCTTTTTCTGAGAGAACCACCATAAACCAGCTTCTTATGCATATCTGATGAATGAGCATCTTGCCCATGGGTATTAGTAAAGTCCTTTCTGATTGACTTATGGTATAATGTCACTTAGAGGCAGGAGACTAGCAATTAGGGTGGTGGAGGAGATGACAGTGACTATCAAACAAATGGCATCGCCAGAACACAAAGGGACCTTAAACCCACCTGGGCTTATTTCAACCCAGGGACATGCTACAAACACCACTCCCAAAGAACTCTGCATAATATAATCTTGGGAGAGGCAGGTAATGTGTTAATGACCCATTACTTTGAACATCTCTATTCTCCCAGTTCTTTCTTCCTTTCATTTCATGGATACCTCTTAGAATCACAGAAACAGGAAACCCAGAGAGGACTCTAACACAAACCTAGTAGTTCTTTCTTTCTGCTAAACACATTAGTGAAAATCAGTCACCAGTATATTTTGGTATCACTTTAAAGAAAGGAATCAAAGTACTTACCCTTGGGGTAGTTTAACCAAGAGTGAGCCATAGTTTGAAGTCTCTGCTTTTCTCCATGCGTTTTCCATCTGTAGCTTGTCTGTTGTATGGGTCTCGATTTGTGTCCCTATGTCTACCAGGATGCTGTCTGAGTCTGTTCCTCTCCCTGTGTTCATTCTTCACATAAGGCTTTTGTTCCTTATTTGTTGAACATCACAGAAACCACCAGATGAGGAAGAACTTAGATGAAAGGAAGATACCTTTCAAAAATCTTTTACAGAGCTTAACAATGGATTAAACCAGGGACTCTCAACTAACCCCAAGTGACCCAGATTAACAAATAAATACTATTAAGCAGTGTTACTTTCAACATTTATACTGGATATTTGTTTTCCTTCCATTTAATGTTTTTAGTAAATGATTATATTAGTAGAAAAACAGAGACATTGATTTTGTTCTTTGGGATAAGGTCACAGAAGAGTACACATCTTAATATAAAAGCTGTGCCTTCGCTCAGGCTGTAAATGTTACTTACACGAGAAATTCAAGGCAAGCAAAGTTTAATTGTTACATTGTTCTCCCATTTTTATTACTTGCTCAGTCACATTCATTGCTGCTTCATGCATTACCCTCTCTCATTAATTGAAAATTCATATACTATATTCCACCCACTGTTTACCCTCCCCCATTTCATCTCCACCTCCCTACCCATCCATCTCTATATCCTTCTTTCTCTCTCTTTAGAAAACAAGCAGGTAAGTATGAAAAGCAAAGAAACCAGAGTTTAAAACAAAACAAAACAACACAAAGTTGCAAAAAAAACCTCAAGAAACACACACAAACAAAACACATAAAATACAAAATCTTAAACTGTTATGAAAAAGACCAGTAAGATAAAAAAAATGCTCAAACAAAGCAAATGATTATTCTCTTAAAGGCAGGTTAAACAGGCTAAGTAAAGAGTAGGGTAGCAGTTCAAGTTTTAAGTGTCCTCACAGTGTATCATTATTGTCAGGTCCAGTCTCTTAGAATGGAAGAGGTATTTTCATAATGATGTATTCTAGAATTTCCTGCTCTCACAACTGAGACAATCTTCAGAGTAACCTGTCTCTGCTTTAATGTTTCAAAGATTGGGTGGTTAGAGTAAGTTTTTATAGTAAATCCTGACTCCATTCCCTTCAGAAACTTACTGCCCATATCTTTCAATGCTGATGCCTCTCATTGCCTCCCAACTTACATTTCTTTTCTCCACAGGGATATTCCTTAATGGAGATAAGGATTTGAAATTTAGAGCCCAATCATACAGAATGCAAAAGTTAAAGGGTAAGATACTACATAAGCACAATTTTAGATGACAAAAGCCAGAGCTGTCCTGGTCCTCTGACTGAAAGCTAAATTCCCCGCCCTGAAATTAATTCAAGCCAGGTGAAAACAATAGTTGTTTTTAAATATGCTAATTTAGTTGTACTGCATACTCCATTTACTTCTGCTCTATTATATCATAATTACTCCCAATTTCTTGATATTCATTTAGTGTAGACAATCTTATCTCCATACGTATGGAGATATTTTCATAAGTAATAAGACATTTTCCTTGTTCATTAAGTCCAAAGGAATAAAACCCACCCCTTTGTATTTCTGATATGAACAGTGATTTAACACAAAAAGACCAAAGCAATTCATATAGATAAATGAGACCATTTTACATTCTTCTCTCACAAATTGCTTCTCTACCACAGCTTCTCCATCGTCCAATCCTCCAAGTTCCCCCCCACCTACTCTCTCCCACTCCCCCACCAAGATCCACTCCTCCTTGGTCTTCCTTCAGAGAAGAGCAGGTCTCCCAGTGGTGCGGGACAATCGTCTATATTCTGTCAATTATATTTTAAATAAACACTGATTGGCCAGTAGCCAGGCAGGAAGTATAGGCAGGAAAACCAGACAGGAAGTAGAGGTGGAGCAATGAGAACAAGAGTATTCTGGGAAGAAGGGACCTCTCTCCCCAGTCCTGCCCAGATCATGGAAGAAGCAAGATGTGACCTGCCCCGCTGAAAAAGCTACCTAGCCATGTGGCTAACATATACTAGAATAATGGGCTAATATAAGTTATGAGAGCTAATACGAAGCCTGAGCCAATGGGCCAATCAGTGTATATCTAATGTAGACTCTCTGAGTGATTTTCTCTGGAACTAAATGTCTGGGGAACTGGGCAGACAGAAACCCCAACAAGCAGGCCTTCATGTTACATCCCAGGGATATCAAAAAACATGGTACAACAAGTTATAATAAGAGTAGGTACAAACACCCATATCCACAATGGCTAAGTCAACCCAGTAGGAGGAAAATGGTCCCAAGAGCAGACAAAAGAGTCCAAGATACCCTCACTGCCAGTGTGGGAAATTTCATAAGAACACCAAGCTATATAACCATAACATATATGCAGAGGACGCAGCTCAGACCTATATAAGCTCCTTGATGGTCCCTCAGTCTCTGTGAGCCCTTATGAGCCCTGCTTAGTAGATTAAATTAAAATTAAAAATGGGTTAATCAGGAAGATGTTATTTTGTAACGGAGATCTTGCAATAAAGCTGCTTGCTGGAAAAAAAATGGGTTAATCAAGATGTGAGAGTTAGCTAATAAGTAGCCTGACCTAACGGGCCAATCAGCTTTATAACTTACAGAGATCTGTGTGTGATTTTTCTCTGGGACTAAACAGCTGGGGAGGGGGGCGGGCAGGACAGAAATCCGAACAAGCCAGCCTGCATCATGTTACAGTTGATTCTATTGGTTGTGTTCTTGTGATATCCTTGACCCCTCTGGCTTCAACAATCCTTTCATCCCCTCTTCCTTGGGATTCCCTGAGCTCTGCTAATGTTTGGTTGTGGGTCTTTGCTTCTGATCACATCAGTTGCTAGATGACACCTCTCTGATAATAATTGGGCTAGGCACTGATCTATGAGTATAGCAGAATATCATTAGAAGTCATTTCATTGATTTTTGGCCAGTCCTATTTGATTCTTTCCTAAGTCTCCTGGGCTATCTAGACTCTGGTTCCCAGTCATCCTGGAAGTACAAGACATGGGCTCCCTCTCATGGTGTTGACTTCTGATGGACCAGTCATTGGTTGGCCAATCCCACAAGTTCTGTGCCACCTAAATTTACCTCAGCATATCTTGTAGGCAGGATAAATTGTAGGTCAAAGGTTTTGTAGCTGGACTGGCATCTCCACCAATAAACTGGCATCTCCACCTGGTTACAGAAGATGGTTGGTTCAGGCTCCACATCCCCCATTACTAGGAGTCTTCACTAGGGTCATCTTCATGGATTCCATGGAGTTTCCACTATCTAAGGTTTCCACATAGTCTCCCCCACAATGCTCCCCAATTCTAGTCATCTCTCCCCATACTCTCTCCCTCCCTCCATCCCCCACCAATTTATCCTGACTGTTCCCACCCCCACCTGCCCCAGTATACCCAAAAAAATCTATTCCATTTCCCCATCCCATGGAGATCAATGCTTCCCTTTTAGTGTTACTTAATCTCTTTGGGTCTGTAGATTGTAACATGATTATCCTTTATTTTATAGCTAATATCCACTAATGAGTGAGTACACACCATGTTTGTCTTTCTGGGTCTGAGTAACATCACTCAGGATGATTTTTTTTCTAGCTCCATCCATTTGCTTGCAAATTTCATGATGTCATTTCTTTAACAACTGAGTAATAGTCCATTGTGTAAATAAACCACATTTTATTTATCCAATCTTTGTTTGAGGGACATCTAGGTTGTCTCCAGTTCCTGGCTATTACAAGTAAACCTGCTATGAACATAGTTGGGCGAGTGTCCTTGAAGTAGGACAGATTATCTTTTGGTATATGCCCAGGAGTGGTATATAGGTGGGTCTTAAGATAGATAGATTCCCAACTTTCTAAGAAACTGCCATGTTGATTTCATAGTGGCTGTACAAGTTTGTACTCCCACCAGCAAATGAGGAGTATTTTCTTTTACTCTACATCCTCTCGAACATGAGATGTCAGTGTGTTTTGATCTTAGTCATTCTGACAAGTGTAAGAAGGAATCTCAAAATCATTTTGATTTCCATATTCTTGATGGTTAAGCGTGTTAAACATTCCTTAAAAGAGCTCCTTAGCCTTTAGAGATTCCTTTATTTAGAATTCTCTGTTTGGATCTGTACCCCAATTTTAAATTATTTTATGTGTTGGATTATTTGGTGTGTTGAGTTATAATTTCCTTCCTTTCTTCCTTTCTTCCTTCCTTCCTTCCTTCCTTTCTTTCTTTCTTTCTTTCTTTCTTTCTTTCTTTCTTTCTTTCATCAAGATAGGGTTTCTCTGTACCTTTGGAGCCTGTCCTAGAACTCTGTCTGTAGACCAGGCTAGCCTCAAACTCACAGAGATCTGCCTGTCTCTGCCTCCTGAGTGCTGGGATTAAAGACATGAGCTACCATGGCCCAGTGATTCCTAATTTCTTGAGTTCTTTTTATATTTTGGAGATTAGCCCTCTGCCAGATGTAGAGTTGATGAAAATCCTTTCCAATTCTGCAGGCTGCCATTTTGTCCTATGTAACATGAGGGGCCGGCTTGTTGGGGTATCTGTTCCCTCCCGGTACCCCACAGCCGGCAACTCCCAAGGAAAATCACACACAAGACTCCATAAGATTATAAACTGATTGACCCATTAGGTCAGGCTACTTATTAGTCCTTGTAACTTATATTAATCCATTATCATTATGTATGTTAGCCATAATGGGCTCAGTACCTTTCTCAGTGTGACAGCTTACATGTTGCCTCTTCGGTGGTCTGCGCAGGAGTGGCTGAGGAAGTTTCCTCCTCCCTAGCCTTCTCCTATTCTCATTGCCCTGCCTCCACTTCCTGTCTGGTTGACCCACCTATACTTCCTGCCTGGCCAATCAGCGTTTTATTAAAATACATGATTGACAGAATACAGACAATTCTCCCACACCAGTCCTATTTACAGTGTCCTTCCCTTAGAGAAGTTTTCAGTTTCATGAGGTCAGATTTATTAATTGTTGATCTTAGTGTTGGTGCCATTAGAGTTCTGTTCAGGAAGTTGTCCCTTGTGTCAATGAGTTCAAGGCTATTCCCCACTTTCTCTTCTATGGTTTTATATTGAGGTCTTAGATTCACTTGAATTTGAGTTTTGTGCAGGATGATAGATATGGATCCATTTGCATTCTTCTACATGCCAACATTCAGTTATGCCAGCACCTTTTATTGAAGATGAGTTTTTTTTCCATTGTATAATTTTGGCCTTTGTCAAAAATCAAGTGTTCATAGGTGTGTGGATTTACTTCTAGATCTTTGCTTCGGTTCTATTGATCCACATGTCTGTCTTTATGCCAGCACCAATCAGTTTTTATGACTATAGCTCTATAGTAGATCTTAATATCAGGGACAGTAATACCGCCAGAAGTTCTTTAGTTGTTCAGAGTTGTTTCAGCTATTCAAAATATTTTTCTTCAATATGAAGTTAAGTATTGTCCCTTCAAGGTCTGTAAAAAATTGTGTTGGAATTTTTATGGGTTTTGTATTGTATCTGTAGATTGTTTATGGTATCATGGCTTTTACTATGTTGGTCCTACCTATCCATGAGCATGGAAGGTATTTCCATCTTCTGACATCTTAAATTTCTTCCTTCAAATACTTGACATCTTTATCAGAGAAGTCTTTCACTCACTTTGTTAGGGTTATCCCAAGATATTTTATATTGTTTGTGACTATCGTGAAGGGCTTTTTCTCAATCCATTTTTCATTTTTATAGAGGAAATCTACTGATTTTTTTTAGTTAATCTTATATCCAACCACTTTGTTGAAGGGGTTTATCAGCTATAGGAATTCCCAGGTAGAATTTTTGGGGTTATTTATGTGTACTATCATATCATTGATAAATAGTGATACTTTGACTTCTTCCTTTCCAAATTGTATCCCCTTGATCTCTTCAGTTGTCTTATTGTTCTAGCTAGATTTTCATGTACTGTATTGAATAGCTATGGAGAGAGTGGACAGCCTTGACTTGTTCCTGATTTTAGTGGAATAGCTTTGAGTTTCTCTCCATTTAATTTGACATTGACTATAGGCGTTCTGTAAATTGTTCTTATTATGTTTAGGTATGTCCCTATTATCTTGAATCTCTGCAGGGCTTTTATCATTTAGGGGTGTTAGATTTTATTGAAGGCTTTTTCAGCATCTAATGAAATGATCATGTGGGGTTTTTTTTCTTTTAGTTTATTTATATAGTGGATTGCATTCACTGCCTTTTGTATGTTGAACAAGCTCTGCATCTCTAGAATGAAGCCTACTTGATCATGGTCAATGATCTTTTTGATGTGTTCTTGGATTCAGTTTCAGTATTTTTTGCATCTATGTTCATAAGGGAAATTGGTCTGTAATTCTCTTTCTTTGTTGACTCTTTGTGTGGCTTGGGTATCAGAGTGATTTGACCTCATAAAATGAATTTGGTAATGCTTCTTCTTCTGTTTCTCTTTTGTGAAATAATTTGGGGGAGTTTTGGCAACAGCTTTTCCTTGAAAGTGTGGTATAATTCAGCTTTAAAATCCTCTGACTTTGAGCTTCTTTTTGGTTGGGTCACTTTTAATGACTGCTTTTTTAAATTAGGGATTATAAATCTATTTACATTGTTTATCTGACCTTATTTAACATTGGTAGGTGGTATCTATTGAAAAAATTATCAATTTATTTTAGATTTTCCAATTTTGTGAAGTACAAGTTTTTAAAGTATATCCTATGATTCTTTAGATTTCCTTAGTGTCTTTTACTATGTTCCTTGTTTTCTTTCTGTCTTTGTTAATTTGGATATTCAGTGCTTTCATTGTGTCCCATAAGTTTGGATATGTTGTACATTCATTTTCATTGAATTCTAGCAAGTCTTTAATTTATTTCTGCCTTAATCTAGTAGTCATTCCCTAGAGAATTGTTCAGTTTCCATGAGTTTGTAGGCTTTCTGTTGTTCCTGTTGTTGTTGAAATCCAGCTTTAATCTGTGGTGGTTTGGTAGGATTACTTTAGGGGGTTATTTCAGTTTTTGTGTTTGTGTTAAGACTTGCTTTGTGACCCAATGTGGCCAATTTTAGAAAAAGCTACATGAAGTGCTGAGTATAAGGTATATTCTTTTATGTTTGCATGGAATGTTAAATAGATATCTATTAAGTCCATTTGAGTCACAACATCTGTTAGATCCCTTTTCTGTCTGTTTCTGTTTGAAAAATCTGTCGAGTGGTGAGAGTGGGATGTTGAGGCATCCCATTATTAGTGTGTGGGGTTTAATGTGCGATTTATGCTTTAGTAATGTTTCTTTTACAAATGTGGGTGCTCTTGTATTTAGAACATAAATGTTCAGAACTGGAATTTCATCTTGATGGATTTTTCCTGGGATGAATATGAAATGTCCTTCTCTATCTCTTTTGGTCAATTTGTTTGAAGTCTATTTTGCTAGATTTTGGATAGCAACATCAGCTTCTTTCTTAGGTCCATTTGATTGGAAAAAACCTCTAGTACTTGTCTCTCTTATTTAGATCAACATGGGAAATCTGCCTTAAGTTTTCTTGGGCCTCTACTATGATGTATCTTTTCTTTTTTCTTTTTTCTTTCATTTTTTTTGGGGGGGGGTTCAAGACAGGGTTTCACTGTTTTCAGCTCCAGCTGTCTTGGAACTAATTCTGTAGACTAGGCAGCCCATAAACTCATACAGATTCACCTACCTCGGCCGCCCAAGTGCTGGAATTAAAGGCATGTGTTACCACCATCAGGCTATGATGTATCTTTAAGAGTTGGGTTAAGTTCTATCCTAAGAACCTAAAAAGAAATTAGAATTTAACCAAAATATTGTCTGGCTTCAACTTAAGCTTATTGTTGTGAAAATTTGCCCAAAGGATGGAAGCTTAAATTATAATACCACCTTACAGCTGGCTCTTACATGTGGGAATCAAGGGAAATAAGTCAGTTAGCCTCTAATATCCACAGAAATCCTCAGAAACTATAGGCAGGGCCTCATATCCTTCAGGCTCATATGTTGAATATTTTCTTCCCAGTGTTCAGCAACTGAGATCGGAGAAAGATCAAGAGGAAAGTAGAAGAGGAGAAAGGACCCCAAATATTGCCCTGGGCCAGATCTCACAGATCAAAGGATTAAGACCAGATGTGTATTGAGTGAAAAAAATCACTGGTCACTGGACACGTGACTAACACCCCACCCTTTCACCCCCGCCACTGAAGTCATGTCCGGCATGTATAAACTCAAAGTCTAGCATTTGAAGGTGTATTGTTCAAATTCTTAGTGTATGAATGAACCAATTCCCAACAAGGACTAAGGACGTTGGGGAAATAGGGCTGGGTGTAGCTCCTGCTTGCTCTCTGCTGAAGAAACCTGGATTACTCGATATGTGGCAGGTAAGAAAATTAGCTAGCCTGTTGCTATTGGGTCATTTACTAAAGCTTTACCTCTTTTCTTGGAATTCCATCACCATAATTTACAGATATAGTAGGGGTAGAAAGAATACCCTAATGATAACATCTTGCTCCACAAGCACTCTGTCAGTTGAAAGACTGGATTTTTAACTATACATCCCTTGTTGTCCATCAATGCCCATCTCTCCTGTTGAGTGAAGATTTATTTAGTTGCCTAAAGGAAGTCTTGCATTCCACAATGACCCGAGAGTGGTGATAGCCCTAGCCTCTGGAGTACCCCTAGAAATTCTAACAAAAGTAAACTCTACTGGTTGGAATGTGGGGAATCCCTGGAAAAAACAAAACCGCTTACCCAATCAAACTCCACTGAAAACTGGGAGTAAGTGATCTCTATGAGGTTATCAAGGGTCCTTAACTGTGATGGTCAGCTTGTGCAATCCCTTAATCAGGTAAGCAGGCCTTTACAGAAGCCCCCAGACTGAACATGCCCGACCTCTATTTTTTTCTTATAATTTGTGACAGAAAAACAAGACCTTGCCTTGGGGATGTTGATTTAAGGCTTAAAACTGGGCCTGTAGCACATATTTCAGAGAAATGTATTGTAGCATCAGGGTGCCTTTTTGTCTAAGAGCTGTGGCAGCCACAGTAATGCTATTCTAAAAAGGAGCTCCTTTGTCTAAGAGCAGTGGTGGACATGCACGGCACTGCTAGTCTGAGAAGTTTCTAAGTAGTCATTGTGGAAATCATTAGAGGCTCTTGGCCCCTCATCATGCATAGGACAGGCTATAATTAGATGAGCGTGGACGGTTAACTTGCCTCTTAGGGCCACTTTTCTTGTGTCTCATAGGTTTGGGTATGGTATGCAATTTTCATTCAATTATAGGAAATTTTTAACTTATTTCTTCATGTTTATTTTGACCCAGTTTTCATTCAGTCATAAGTTGTTTAGTTTCCATGAGTTTATAAGCTTTCTGTTGTTTCCTTTTTGTTACTATCTAGCTTTAACCCCCATGGTGGTCATATAGGATGCAGAATATTGTTTCAATTTTCTTGCATCTGTTGAGAATTGTGTCTGTTGAGACTTGTATGTGGTCAGTTTTGGACAAAGTTCCATGAGGTTCTGACAAGAAGGTATGCTGTGTTTAGACGAAATGTTCTATAAATAATGACTAGGTCCATTTGATTTATGTTGTTATTTAACTACAGCAATTCTGGGCATTTTTACTTGAATGGCCTGTCTTTTGGTGAGAGTAGGGTACTGAAGTCTCCCACTATCACTGTGTGAAGGTTAAGTTGTGATTTTAGCTGTACTAGTGTTTCTTCTGTGAATTGGGGCTCCCTCAGCTTGGTACATAAATGCTTAGGATTCCAATATCGTCTTGATAGAATTTTTGTTTGATGAAGTAAGTAGTGTCCTTTGCTAAATTTTCCGATTAATTTTGTTTTGAAGTCTCTTTTGTTACATATTAACTAGCTTGCTTTTCGGGTACATATGCTTGGAAAATCTTTTTTTCCAGCATTTTACTCTGAGCTAATGGCTCTCCTTGATGTTGAGGAGTGTTCTCATATGCAGCAGAAAGATGGATCCTGTTTTATAATTCTGTCTGGTAGTCTATGTTTTTTATTGGTGATGGAGACCACTGATACTGAAAGTTCTCAACAAGTAGTGATTGTTGAGTACTGTGAGTTTTCTGTTTTGGTGCTGAGTTTTCCCTCTTTTGATTTGCTGGTCTGGACTCATTTATTCCTGATGTTTTCTTGGGTGTGCTTAACCTCTTCATATTGAAGTGTTCCTTGAAATACGTTCTGTAGAGATGTATTTGTAAATAGATAATGCTTAAATTTCATTTTATCATTGAATATTTTTCTTTCTCCATGTATTATGATTGGAGATAGGAACTACAGATTAGAGAGAACATTTAGTGTTTGTCTTTCTGAATCTAGAATACCTTGCTCAATATATTTTCTAGTTCTAGCCATTTACGTACAATTTGCATGATTTTCTTTATCCATTCATCAGTTGGAGGACATTCAAACATTTTCAATTTCCTAGCTATTATAAATACAGCAGCAATGAACGTGGCTGAGCAAGTGTTATGGAGTAGGGTTTGAGTCCTTTAGAAATATGCAAACAAGTGGTATAGCTTGGTCATATTGTCGATTTATTTTCAGCTTTTTGAGAATCTGCCTTACCAATTTCCAGAGATGATACATCAATTTGCAAACCCCCCAACACCTCATCAACATTTGTTGTTAGTTGTTTTTTATTTTATTTTATTTTACTGTAGTTCTTTAGACTGGGGTGAGATAAAATCTCAAAGTACAATTTTATGTCATTATGGGCTGAATAAAACTTCAGTGTATCTAGTATTCATTTTTGTTTGCTTGTCCCAACAAGATATCTTTCTGCAGTCTGAGCTCACCTCAAACTCATGATCCACTTGCTTTGTCCTCCCTGTTCAGAGATTACAAGAATGTACCAGTATGTCTAGACTGTATATGGTATTCTTAATTAAACTTTAAATTGTGTTAAGACTTAGGACTCATTATTCTTGTCCCTTTATGCCTGTACAGTTGCTGTTGAGAAATATCTCATTCATTTAAAGTGGATACTTTTAAATGTAACCAGGGTTTTACTTTAGAGATTTAGAAAATTTGACTTCTATATGCTATGGAGAAAATTCTTTCTAGTTGCAATTTTGATAGTTTTGCAAGACTCCTTTACATTCATGTCAATATCTTTCCTGAGATTAGAAAAATTCTGTTACTATTTCATTGAATTTGTTCTGCCATTAGCTCTTACCCACATATTTGTAGCAGCTTTCTTCCTCTTCCTTGCTTTGTTTTGTAGTCACAAAGCCCCTTTTTTTCATTAAGTGTTTTTTGCTCCACTGTAATCTGTTATCTGATCTCAGGCCCATGAAGGAGCATGTGACAAAAATCTAGCACAATATAAATGAACTTTCACTGACAATTTTGGCAAAGGCTAAAAGTCCAAAATGCTAACAGAAATATGAGTAATAAAGGTTTCTGTTAGTAATGTTTCAGGTAGAAATGAGGACTCTCACTTGAAATGTATGAAAAGTTACCTTCCTTAGATTATAGTAAAGAATTCAGAAGCATTTAGCATACATCATCAGTCATTTTCAGTGCTGAGCTTAAAGTTGATGAGTCCATCAACTTTTCAGAGGAATGTCCACCATAGCACAGAATTCAGACTCTAACATGGGTATTACTCACTACTTTCTGTCAAATTTATAGACAGAAGCCATAGTATAAAGTGAAAGAGAAAGATTTGAAAGTTTTGAAATTTGACTTTAAAAAGAGCATATAAGCCAGCCTGGTCTACAAGAGCTAGTTCCAGGACAGGATCCAAAGCTACAGAGAAACCCTGTCTCAAAAAACAAAAAAACAAAACACAAAACGAAACAAAGAAAAGAAAGGAAGGAAGGAAGGAAGGAAGGAAAGAAAGAAAGAAAGAAAGAAAGAAAGAAAGAAAGAAGGAAGGAAGGAAGGAAGAACATGTAAAAATATGGCCAAGAAAAGATGCAGTTTCACTATACTTTGAAGTTTCAAAATCCATCCTTTCCATTGTGCCTCTCTGCTTCCTGTTCATGGAGGGAAAAACAACCTTTCGGCTGCTACTCCTGCACCATGTCAGCCTGTCTGCTGCCATGAAGGTGATAGGTGGTGATATTCCTCTAGAACCATAACCCCTAAATAAGCCCTTCCTTCTATAAATTACCTTGGTCACTGGTGTTTTATCACACCAAGAGAAAAGGAAGCAATTACAGAAGTTGGTACTAGGAGGGGAGTCTTGCCCTGAGAGCATTCTTCCCTTTATTCCAATGCAGATTTGTCCTTTTCTTAAACTGATCTCTTTATCTCTTTCAGAACCAGCCTTGGTTCCAAAAGTAAATTTTCTGGTGCTCTTTTTCTCTTGAAACTATACATTTTATATTCGTTTTTCTGGCCCACTTGCTCTTTCATTGTAGACTTGCATAAGTGATTACTAATAACCACACAACAGAGTCAATATTAGGCTGTCTTGAAAGAAATCTCCATCAAACAAGTTAATCCATTCCTTCTTAATTAAACTTCAAATTCTTAGGACAAAGGCAAAAAACATCTACATTTTTTGCCAAAATATCACAAGAACGGCCTCTAGCCCCATTGCTGTTGAAGTCCTTGCTTCTCTCTGAAGTCTCTTGAGATGGGCTTCCATAGCCACATAGCTCTCAGCACCTACTTCCAGGTCCTACAATCCCTGCTTACAGCATTTAAGCACTTTTCTAATCTGAAGTCCCAAAGCCTTCCATATTCCAAAAAAAAAAAAACAACCCACACACAAAAAAGTGGTCAGGTTCATCATAACAATGGCCAACTTTCTGGTAAGCAAATATTCTATAAGAACTGTTAGAGTGACATTTTGAATTTAGACTCACTAAAGTGAAATCTTTGCTTTTGCTGGAGCCATTGGTACTGGTCAGTCAGCTGAGGCCAAAGAATAAGCTGTGATTAAGAAAAGACCTGCCTCAAAACTGTATGCTAGACTTTGTTGACTCCTCATTGTTAGAAATATTTTTTAATATTAGCTCTCTAACGATGCAAAAATTCCCAATCAAGCCAAATCAAAACAAGCCAAATTAAGAAATATCCAGGTTTAATGGGAGATCTGTGCTCTTGAGTGACCCCGCGGGGGAAACCGGGAAGCTGCAGAAATGCAACCCCTGGGAGGAAGAAAGGGAGACCACATGTTCTTTTCTTGGGAGATCACTTAAGTACCCTGGGGAAAATGGTCCTGACCAGGGAGGGGTCAGGACCTGGCCTGCTGGGATTTGAAGTCCAGACCAGGCCTGGGGCCTGGGATAGATGCAAGGAGCAGGGGCCTACACTCCCAACTTAACACTCATGGGAAGCCTTACCCTCTTGAGAAGCGGAGGGGGGGGGGGGGGGGGGGGGGGAGATGGAGGGAGCAGGAGTTAGAAAGGGAGTGGGATTGGTATGTAAAATTTCAATTAAATAATAATAAAAAAAAGAAGAAACCAACATCATGGGAGTATTTTTTCTCATCTGTATTTACCTTTTAAAGCAGAATGTAATTGGGCACTGTATTTCCACTCACAAGCCTTGCTGAGTTACAAGACCTAGGGAAGCTTAGGATTTTGTTCTTGGTACTTTGGAAAACAAGCCACATGGGGTTCCTGTTGTTTTAGCTTGTGTACTTACTTCTAAGATTAGTACATGCAGAACTATAGGGGATGAAAAATTTTAAGATGAAACTTAAGCCATCTTAATTTTTTTGTTTTAAACATGAACTTCTGGGAGTATTTTCTCGGGGTCAGCACACAGAAGCTGTGGTCCAGAGAGACCTGAGGCTGCATCTCATCCTGGCAGACAAAACTTTCCCAGGTGGCACTGGTTTTGAAGGCAGGAAGAGGTCATGGAGGGCAGCTCAGGCTCAGCACTGTGAGGGGCCGGGAGAGGCTACTTTTGGAATGTGCAGCCTCACTTGAAGAAGAAGCTCCAGGATTGAAGAGATCAAGGAGAGAAGTTGAGGCTTGGCCGATAGGGCAGTGCAGGACCTGCAGGAAGGCCTTGAGAGGGCAAGAAACCTTGAGAGGCCATTGTTTGAAGGTGAACGTGAAGCTGGAAACATGTTGGAAACCAGAGATGTTAGAGGTGCCAGAGCTGTGGAATATCTGCCAAGGAGAGCTAGTGGAGGCTTTCAAGTCAGTTCTGTCTCCGCCTCTAGGTCCCATGTCCCAAGTGCATGGTCTCTTCAACAATAAGGACTTATGGTCCACCTCTGGGAGGTAAGCAAGGGCAGCAGCAATAGCCTATAATGTTAGGAGGGAGCCTTGGACTCCCCTGGCCAACAACGGGAAAGGAGGCTTCTCTTGCCTGGTATTGGGGCTTTTGTTGATAGTTTGTGGCTCTTGGGGGTAACACTGTCAACTTAGCAGGGAAATTTTCATTTAAACTATAAACATATATGTATACATGTAGACTTACATGTATTATGTGTAATTTGAGGTAATTACCATTGCAACCATTTGTATTCAAAGTTATAATTGAAATGGGCACGCTAATTTTTTTTTCAAGATAGGTTTTCTCTGTTTAACAGCTCTGGCTATCCTGTAGTTTACTCTGTAGAACACAGAGATCCCAAGTGCTGGGACCAAAGGCATGAGCCACCACCACCCAGCATGGACATGCTAATTTCTAAAGTTTTTTCTTTCATGATCTTGCTAATTGAATTACTATTGCTCTTTTCTTCTGCTCAATTAGCATTAGGGATTTGCTTATTTATTGTGTTGGATAAGATGAATTCTTTTTTACTTCTCATTTGTTTATTCTTCTAATGAAGTTTATCCTTTTCCTATAGTCTTGTAATTGAGACTGCGTTGCTGCTTTTGTGTACAGTATTGTTTTGAGTATTTTCTGCAGTAGTGGTTTTGTAGTTCCAAACTGTCTTAGTATATGTTCGCCTTGAGACATTCTTATTTCACCAAGTTATTTTAAACCATAGTTTTGGTGCATATAGCAATCTTAGTTGGCAATTACTTATATATAAGACTTGAAATATACATTTCATGCTTTCCTGTCTCTGATGAGAGAGGTAACCTTATTTTGATATCCTCACCTTTTGTAAATGAGTTGATATTTTCCCTTACAGCTTTTAATTTTTTTATATTCAAATATAATTACATCACTTCCCATCATCCCTTTCCATCCTCCATTCCCTTCCATGTCCCCTCCCTCCAACTTCTCTGATGTACCCTCACTCGCAAATTAATAGCTTCTTTTAGTTTGATTATTGTTACATACATATGTATATGTGTATATATATATGCACAAATATATAAATACCACCTATGAAGTCTGTTTTTGTTGTATATATCAGGAGATTCATGCCCTAAGGGGCTAATTCTCCCTCTCTCAACAGTCATAAGTTACCTGTACTTTTGTCTAGGGGTAGAACCCCATGAGCTCCCCTCACCCCATTCCAAGCTAGCATGCCTATTGTTTATGGATCTTAGAAGATAATCTAGTACATCCCTTAGAAATTTTAATATTTTCTTTACTTTGTATTTTTGACATCTGGTCTATATGTCTATTTTCACTTTTTTTGATTTCCATATTAAGTTTTTAGTGCCACTTGTGTTAGATGTCCATTTCTTTCTCAAGATTTGGGGTCTATTAGACAATGATTTCATTAAACAAATGAACTATGCCTTTAGTTTTTATCAGTGTCTTCTTCTACTCCATAGGTCTCTTGATGGTGTCACAACGTTTTTGAACATTATAGTCATGTTAACTTATTTTTTCTTTAGTGATATCTGAATGTAAATGAACCTTTACCTTATCCTTTATCTGTTACATTTATTCCTCTGCCTGATATTTTCTGTTGGTGATGTTTCATTGTAATTTTTATGAATTTTTAATTAAAATATGTCATTTTTCTTTTTTCCTTTCCTCTTTTCACTCCTTCTCATGGAGCCCCTCCCTCATTCCCATTCTAAATCATGACTTCTTTTTCTCTCTTAATTTTACACATATATAAACACTGTTTATATAAAAGCCTCAATATACAACAACAACCATATCAGTTCATTTAGTGTTACTTGTGATTTCAGGGCTGACCATTTGGTATTCAACAACCTCATCCCTGCGGAAAACTATTTCTTATGTGCTCAGCATTCCATTGTCTGTAGTTCTTTGTTTATGGATGGGGCCTCATGAGATCACCACTTCCATGTTAGCATGCCTTTTGGTGCTGTACTTCATCAGGTCTTGTTCTGATAGCCAAACTGTGTTTCTATTTTATTGATTAGCTCTTTCATTCAAGAATTTTATTCAGTTCTTATTGAGAATCTTGAGTTCCTTGAATTTTTATCTGTTTCTTAATTTCTCCTCAATATTTCTGGCTTTTACACCTACTTGGCAAATTGTCTACCCAAACCAGGGAAAGACAGAACAAAAACCAAAAACTGCAGACTAATATCCCTGTTTAACATAGATGCAAAAATTCTCAAGTAAATACTAGCAAACTGAAATGCAGGGTGGTTAAAAATGTAAATGAATAAATATTATAAATCATATAAGTGGACTAAAAGACCAAAGTCACATGAGCATCTCAATGGATGCTGAAAAGGCCTTTGACAAAATCCCAAAACCATGATAAAAGTCCTAGAGAGAGTAGGACTGGAGGGAACATATCTAAACATAATAAACACACACACACACACACACACACACACACACGACCAACCCCTAGCCAACCTGAAGCAATCCCACCTAAATCAGGAACAAGACTGGGCTTCCCCCCTTTCAATATGGTACTGGAAGTGTTAATGATAGCAATGAGAAAATACCAGGAAATTAAAGGGATACAAACAGTCAAATTATTCCTATTTGCAGATGATATGAGATCATTACATAAGAGATTCCCAAAATTCAACCAGAAAACTTCTAGAAATAATAAACAGTTTCATCAAAATGACAGAAACACACTGACAGCGACATAGACATACTTTGAACTACGATAGTATTAAAGAGAATGAAATATTTCAGAATAAACTTAACCAAGGAGGTTAAAGACCTCTACAATGAAAACTTCAAATCTCTGAAGAAGAGAATAAGACACTGAAAACGGAAAGATACCTTGTGTTTATGGAATGGTAGAATTAACATTACGCAACAGGCCATCCTACCGAAAGCTATTTATACATTCAATCCAGTCAAAATACTCACAACATTCTTCACAGAAACAGAAAAAAAATCCTGAAATTTATATGAAAAAAGAAAAGACCCCAAAATAGCCAAAGCAATCTTGAGTAAAAATAATATAAAAGAACTGCTATTCCAGATATCAATATCTTGTAGAGCTACAGTAATAAAAACAGTATGATACCAGCACAGCTAGACCACTGGAATAAAGTATAAGGCCCAAATATAAGTACTCATAACTACAGCCATCATATTTGACAAAGAGGCAAAAAACATACTCTTAAGAAATATAGTTTCTTCAAGGGCTTGGGGAACTGAATGTCCACATATAAAAGAATGAAATTAGACCCATATCTATGGTCTTACACAAAAATTAGTTCCAAGTGGAGCATAGACCTCAACTTTATGCATGAAACACTCAAACTCAATGTAGAGCAACAATCAACTGAGTGAAGAAGAAACCAATAGAATGGGAGAGAATCTTTTCTCAGTTATAGATCTGGCAGAGGATTAACATCCAGAAAATTTAAAAAAGAAATCCCTCAAGAAACAGAGTCAAGGAAATAAATGTTCTAATTAGAAATAGGCTAGATATCAAAACAGAGTTCTCAATTTAAGAAATAAAAATGACAAAGAAATAGATCAAAGTGTTCATCATATTTAGCGATCAGGGAACTGCAAGTTAAAGCAACTCTGAGATTTCCTCTCAGTCTAGTACAATGACTAAGATCAACAAAGCAACTGACAACATCCTGCGGAGCTTGTCCGGGAAGAGGAAATGCTCACTGTCGGTGGGAATGCAAACTGCTACAGGCACTCAAGAAATCTATGAAGAATCCCCCAAAGATAAACAAACAAAAAATAATCTACCATAAAACACAGCTATACCAATCCTTGGCATATGCCCAAAGGAGTGGACATCTTACTCCACAGACACTTGCTCAGCCATGTTCATTGCTCCTCTATTCACAATAGCCAGGAAATGGAAACAATTTGAAAGTCTGCCAACAGATGAATGGATAGTAAAAATGCTGTGCATATACACTGTGTACTACTCAGCACAACACACTACTACTCTTTACTTTGTAAAGAAATATAAAATCATGGCATTTGCAGGTAAACGGATGGACCTAGAGACCAGAAAGCCTCACGCTATCTTTCGTCTGCAGTTTCTTGCTCCATATCCTCAGATGTGAGTACACAACATGGAGTAACCATAGAAACCAGGTATGTATAAAGGGACCATAGAAGGGTGTAGGGAGGGGAATAGCAGGATACTGATAACATGAAGTGGTAGGAAACAGAATAACGGTGAGGGCCTCCAACTGGGGAGATGGTGGGGGGAGTCAATAAAGAAAAAGGAGGAACAAGAGACGAATAACACCAAGGTTGTTTGATAAAGTGTCAAGGAGTCACTATTTTGGATTTACATAAAATTATACACTATGCATATAAGTATATGTATGCACATATATACACATATATGCATATTAAAGGAACTTAAGGTACTTATGCTGGCAATGCTATTTAGAAGAACCATAGGTGAACAAAATCCCTGGTAGCAAACATGAGACTCCTCCCTTGGATAAATTGGTAAAATAATCCATGTGACTCCAAAACCAATATAGATTATCATCAATATAACCCTTTTTGCCTCTCAGGAGTTTAGAGTGAGCCCCTATTATTGAAGAAATCACACACATAGGACACAGGACTTGGATGATTCAAACTGACCTGAAAGCCTCATCCCTGCTGTCTAGCTGTCTATGTTCAATGGTTCCAGAAAATGCTATGCAAAATGCCAAGAGGGAAGCAATTAGAAAGTCCTACCCTGGCCAGGCAGTGGTGGCGCATGCCTTTAATCCTAGCACTTGTGAGGCAGAGGCAGGAGGATCTCTGTGAGTTCGAGGCCAGCCTGGTCTAGAAGAGCTAGTTTCAGGACAGCCTCCTAAAGCTACAGCGAAACCCTGTCTTGAAAAATAAATTTAAAAAAAATTAAGAAAGAAAAGAAAGTCCTACCCTGATACAACACCTATGAACTATGACAATCACCAGCATGGCAACATTGTGGGATTAACCATGATATTTGGGGGCTGACAATCCAAAGATAGTTCAACAAGAACGCATTGTGACATGGCAAGATATGCATAAAGGTATAAGAAGTAGCACTATATGTAGGTGGCAATCGGCTGTCTAATTGGACTTAAGGTCCACTCAATAGGAAGAAAACCATGCCCGGTGCTGGAAATCTGGCCAGCTTCCTGGGGTCAGTGAGATCATGGACCTGAGAAAAGACTCTATTACCACCACGCTAGTAGACTAGCATAATTCCTTACTACATTCCAATCCTTATACCCACAGACCCGTGTAGCTACCACTCATCAATGAAGCCTCTCTCTACAGCAAAGGGAGACATCACAGAAAACAACTGGACACAATGCACTAATCAGTGGATTAGTAGGGAACCCAGCCCCAGCAGAAGCATCTACATCACTACTCCTGCATCTATGGCTCAGGGAATACTGAGTCAGAGACGGGTGGAAAGATTATAAGAACCCTAGTTCCTGTCTTGAAATAATGGCTTTGGTCTGCTAGTACCTGCTCCTATGTTTTCACTCACTTAGGTAGTGGCATGGGCACAACCCTCCCCCTATTCTAAGAAAATCACACTTAGTCTCAGTATTGGGGCCCTGTTCTTGGCCTGCACTTCCAGTATGGTCACTGCAGGCAGCATTGCTCCAGCCACCTGTCTGTCAATCTCCAACCACAGTGCTCCCAGCTCCCGGTCTCATCTCTGTAGCCTTCTTGGTCTTTTTTGATTTTCCCCTTTCTACTTTTATTGTTGTTGTCATCGAGTGTACAGAATGCACCCAAATAGCATTTATTCCAACAAATGAATGTTTATTTAAAAGGATTTATAAAATCATAACACTTACTTTCAAAAGACAAAGGAATCTTTGATGTTTGGAACACATATTATCGTGGCTCAAAGTTAAAAAAAGAAACAAAAATTGATAAATATCTCCCTTTTCTCCCAGCCAGGGATGGACACCTGGAGCTAAACCTTTAATCAGTCAGCCCTGATTTTATCCCATAGGTCTAAGAGCAACATGACTAGGAGGCTTAGCTTTGATAAAGGCGTGAGCTGTGGGGCTTGAAGAGCTTAGTGGCCTTGGTTGGCAGAGAAAGGTCACCTACACAACCAACAGGAAAAGAATGGCCAATAAGTTCTTTAACTGAGTACCTTAGAGAAGACAGACTCAAGGCGAGGAAAGAATGGAAAACAAAGTCATACCCACTTACATGTATAAAATTATTGGCATTCATATAATACCATATTCACTTCTATCCTCCCAGTGATACAGTGATGGTAATTGAGTGGGTATTACAGTGATGGGTTTTGAACAAAATACAAAGCTAAAGTCAGCTCCCGGATTCTCAGCCAAGGTCATTCCTATACCATAGCCATCAGACCTCCTATTTTCAGCAGTGAACTGGGTGAGACTTGGAGCATGGGTCTAACTCCCTAATTTCACTGCAGCAAATGTCTACTGATTTGCAAAGAACAAAAAAAAAGTAAAGAAGGAAAGACCTACAGATCTTGGGATCTCCAGATGCCCAGCCTGGTATGCAAAAACTTGAGTATACCTGGAAGACTTGGATAGAACCATGGCATGACACCAGAGCCTCACACATTACTATAAGAAAGAACACCTGTCTAAGTTACTCCTGGGGCTCTAATGATGACCTGAATACTGGGAAGATACATGGATACAGCCCATTGGGAAGTCCAGCAAAAATAAAGTTGCTATCCTTTCAGAACCTAAGGCAAAAAAAAAAGAGGGAAGGACATCATTGAGGCCTTTTCTTAAAGTAAGACATGGACCTCCTCCAGTCCTTATACCCTGCAGCTCAATAGGCTCCAGTCCTTGGGAACAAGAGAAAGAGTCAATCAGGGCCTTTACCCCTCAGTCACCTCCAAACCATCACAGTAGTTGAGATGTGAGAGGGAGAGAAGGGGTCATGAGACCCAGTCATTAGCACCCAAACCACAGCTGTTCTTGAACCTGATATCCCAAGAGCAGAAAGAAATAAGAGCAAAGAGAAAGGTGTTCTTCTTCCAGAAAATTAAATAGAAGACTCAGGAGAAGGAAGGGGTATTTTTTAGAAAATCAGGACATTTATCACTCTGGCCAAGGGGAGGGTTTATGATCAACAGAGGTCTAGCCCTTCACCTTCTCTTCATTCATCCTGCTTCCGTTTTGGCTTTTTGGGGTTCCGTGACCGACTCTTGGCTTTGCAAAGAGGGCATATAGGTGCATTTCGATGAATCTGTTGGTGACATGACAGGCAGGCCTGATGGGGGTAGACAGAATAAATAAAGTTAGTGTAGTCAGATTATTCTAAGGAATGGTTCAGACTGCAGATACTCAGGGGCCCAGAAAATAATTACAATTTTCCATTTGGAAGGAACAGTTAGCAGTAATATTCAGGTAGAGATCAGTGTTCTTGGAGATCATAGAACATAGGAGCAAAGGATATAACGTAGAGAGAGATGTGTAAAACATACACGTAAAACTTGGAAATAAAATAAGAACTATATATCTATGCAGCAATATATCAGAACATTATCTCTAACCAGCTCTCTCATGTACTATCAACTTGTTGTGGACAAGATGAATTAGCAAACATTTTTCTATAGCAACCAAGATAGTGAATACTTAGACTTTAAAGGGTATTTTTAATTAAAATTGAGTGGTGTCTGTGTGTGTCTGTGTGTGTGTGTGTGTGTGTGTGTGTGTATGTGTGTGTGAGTGAGAGAGAGAGAGAGAGAGAGCGACGAAATGAAGAGATGCGTGTACATGTGCCACAGAACATGTGTGGAGGTCTGAGGACAACTTTGCGGTTCTCTCCTAGAACAGTTTTTGGGAGCTGGTTCTTTCCTTCTACCATGGGATGCTGGGATCAAACTCAAATCATAACATTTACATGGTAAGTGCTTTTACATCCTGAGTCATGGGGTGGCCCATAAATATATTAGACTTTTCACATTAACTGGTCTGTTGCAATTATTCAACTCTGTTAAGATATAACACACAAGCTGGACGTGGTGGTGCATGCCTTTAATCCCACGACTCAGGAGGCTGAGGCAGGCAGATCTCCGAGTTCGAAGGCAGCTTGATCTACAGAGTGAATTGCAGGACAGACAGAGCTATGCAGAGAAACCCTGTCTCAAACAAAATAAAAAAAAATACAACACACAAATCACCTGGCATGTGTGCACGCCAGTAAATTTTCAATGAAAGCATGTAACAAGCCAGACTCTACCTGTAGGCTATGGTCTACTGGGAAGGCACTCTAGTAAAGCATCTGTTTGACTATTTACTATTGACCCAATTCTGTGATGCTTCACTGACAACCCACAAACAGTTTTGGCCTAGTAGAAATGCAAATTAATTCTAGTGGGAAGGAAAGGTAATCCTGAAGGTATTACATTTATGTCTCTAGAAGACATAAATAATTTCTGTATAAAATTTCCAAATTTATTTCAGTGTTTCTTTCCAACCATGTAAACATCTGTTTGCCAAATGTACTAAGAACCTGCCTTGTGATTCTGCTGAATCCCTCACTAATGATATATGTTCACTATGTATTTGTATAAGGATTACCTTTCTAAACTTTAGAAAATTCTAATTCAGTAGGGCCTGCCAGCCTTCTTGTATTCTAATCTCTCTGGGGATTTGCAGCAACATGGATTCAACATAACATCCCATCCTCTGCGTACCAATCAAACATTGTTTAAGTAAGATCTAAAATAAATAAGGCCACAACCTCAAGCACCATCTCGTCAGCCTCCCATTGCAGGACACTTTGCATCCTCTGTGGTCCAGTCTAGCTTACCCACCTTCATAGGCGGAGGCTGCTGTCTGAAGGTGGCTGTCTGCCGTGTGTCCTGCTTCCTGGCCACTTGGAGTTGTTGGGCAGCAGCAGCTGCAGCAGCGAGGGATTCAGGTATGGGAGGTTCTTGGGGCTCTGTCTGCCATTCTGCTTTCTGCTTCTCAAAGTAACTTTGGAGATGAAAGACACTAGCTGGATCACTCTGAAAGCAAGAAGAACCTTGCCCCCTCTTAAAGTTTCTATGCTAAGGAACCAAAAATTGTAGTAGGATCTTCTCTAGCAGCACTACCCTCCCTATAGTGCATGGCTCTTTTCCCCTTAGTACTAGACACATGATCAGTAGGAAAGGTAGACATTTTTCTTCTTAACTCTGATAGATGCAGATGATCAAGAAATCTTAGGGCTAGCAAGATATTTAGACCCGTTGTCTATCTGACGGTCACTTGCAATGTTGAGACCAAGCATTCCCAGGCCTATATTTATCTCCTTGTAGGAACAGGAGGCTCACTACTTCTACAGGAATCCGTTGTACCTTTAGGATATACTCCCTCCTGTTGGGATGAACTCTCTGTCTTTAAAGTGAGCCTAGTTTTTAACTATGGGTCTTGACATTAAAGGACAGGCCATGTCCTGGGGAAAATGGAAGCACATCCTTTCTGTATACTCCTCTAGACCTTAACTTGGAAAGTGGCATTTTAAAATTCACAGGCAAGTTATTTTTAAATGTTATATTAAATTTGTTTGTACATGTGTATGTGTAGGCGGGCACATGACGCTACCATGTAATAGGACAGAAGTCATAGGACAGCCTGCAGGCATTCATCCTTTCCTTCCACCCCATGGGTCCCAGGAACTGAACTCAGGTCCCCAGGGCTGGTGGAAAGCCATTTTACTCCCTGAGCTATCATGCCAGTGCATAGGTAAAATTCTTACATTGTCAAAAATTGCACAAAGCATTTTAAAGAGTCACCCATTAAACTTCATCTCATCGTTGCTCTTTATAATATGTCAGCACAGAGACTTGAAGAAGGTCATGCAAGGAATTAGTCACTGGCAGGCCTAAGAAGAGAACTATGTACTCGGACTTTCAGGCCATGTAAACATCCATGTCCATCTGTGTCCCCCCCCCCCCCGCCCCTCCCTTCTGTTACATTGTGTTATTTTGGGGTCAGAGGGCAGGCATCTTACTCCAAAGAGAGTTTCTCTTCCTCTTCACACAAGTCAGGAAGCCTTTGCAGTCCCAATGTCATGCGCAGGGCATCCACATGCTCCTTCAGCGGCTTATACTCGTCATGAAGCCTCCGGGTGGACTCTAGCAACTTGTTTAAGTCATTTTCCGACTGTTTAATGGTGTTTTCCATCTGGAAAATAGAGCAGGGTAGGAACAGAAAAGATCCCAAAGTTCTCAAAGATGTTTTAGAACTGAGCACATAATAGCACAGACTCCAGAGGGAGACCAACCTATGTTGGTCAAGTTTACTATGTCTTTTCTACACGGCGGATCAAGCCTCGGTTTCTTCATCACTATGATAGTGAAAGTTTAATAGTGCACACCCCATGCAGTCTTAGTGAAGATTTGATGATTGAATTCATGTGAATCACCTAATATAGGAATTAACGGAGTAACAGCTCATAAACTTGTGGTTAAATTACTCAAATGACCAACACCTCCAACCTGGAGTTGCCTTTAGAGGTCATCTCGCTCACCTCACCTGGATCGCCAGTCTACGGTAGAGGTCAGTGAGCTGAAAGAAGCTTCGGCTTTCACAGAGATCCTTATGAACAAAACCTACACAGAAATGGGAGACTTACGTCTTCCAAGCCAGTTACATTTTTCCTAAGTTAACTGTTTTCAAACTGGTCGCCACACTTCCACCCTATCACCCCATCCACATGCCCCACCAGCAGCGGCAGTGGCAGTATTAGCATTTAGGAACAAAGGATTTTACATTCTCAATCCCTTACCTAACATATGCAACTAGAAACTCTGGAGTAAAGTTCAACAACTTGTGCTCTAATGGGCCCTCCAGCTGACCCTCATGCTCTCGTCTGACGACTACCAGCCTGGATTCTCAACCCCTCTATTGAAAAAAAACATGATTCATTCTATTGATTCTACATCATCAGTTAGCTTGCAGCAAAGTCTACGGTTCCCTCCAGGAGACCCAAATTCTTATTCTCTCTACCACATAAGACCCTAAGGGTCTTACACAGCCTCATTTATGTATTTTTAATAATTCTAGGGCTGAAAACATTCTGAAAATAAGTAATTCCACAGAAACGAGTTTGTCAAGAAGAAAAACTTAGCTCCATCAAAAATGAATTTTAAAAAAGATGTCATAGGCTCTAAGGATTGGAAAGGATCTCACAGGTGAACCCTTTCCACTTTCTGATAAAGGAATAACCAGTAAAGAAGCCTAGACTATTACCGAGTAACTCCAAACAAGGGAATTTGTCAACTCAGCAATTTATCCACAGTATTCCAAGAGTTTCCACTTTGGTAAACAGACAGAGAGGATTGATTTGGTCTTGTTGGGAGCTTTTGAGCATTTTATGTTACCTTCAAGGGACAGGCATATAGTCCACTTTTCCTTGGCTACTTCCTAAGCTGCAGACTTCCAGAATGTGAACACGAGAACAGACTGAACCCTCGAAGGTCAGTTGGTCCCTTTCATAATACAGGGAGAAAGTACGATGCTCAGAAATAAAGGACTTGTCCATTGCTGTTAGTCGGTGACATAATCAGAGCTGGCCTCAGAACTTCTGGAATTTTCTACTTCACAGCCCTCTCCTCTGAGCTAGCTAGCCACAGTGACATCTAAATGAGAGGTAACAACATCCTCTATTCGCTCATCCTTAACAAGCGTAGAGACAGGTGGGCAGCCAGCCACGTACCACATTAATATCAGCATGGATCAGTCGGAGTTCCTCCACATGTGCCATCTTCTCCTGCAGCAGGAGATCCATCTCCTGTTTGTACTCCTTCAGGTGCCTCTCTTCGGACTCCAGTGCCTCAAACTCCGCCTTCAAGCGGGCCTTGATCTTTTCCATCTGCAGAGTCTTGTTCCTGAAATTTCTCAAGAGCAGGAAACAGGCCAGTAGGAGGATGGAGGAAGACAGAAATGGAAAGCAGAGTTAGGCCTTTCCTTCTAAGCTCTCTTTCTAACCCTTGCTTTCACAGACAAGAGAAAATCAGAGCCATCTCAGAAAGAGTTAGTGTTGTAGGGAGGCCACTTGTTGGTTCCCGGCTGCTCAGTCCCAAAATAATCACACAGAAACTGTATTATTTAAATCACTGCTTGGCTCATTCGCTCTAGCTTCTTATTGGCTAACTCTTACATCTTAATTTAACCCACCTCCATTAATCTGTGGATCACAGTGAGGTCATGGCCTACCAGCAAAGGTTCTGTGCATGTCTCCGGCTGTGGCTCCATTGCTTCTCCTCCGACTCTGCCTTCCTTCCCCTAGCATTCAGTTTAGTTTTCCCCACCTAGTTCTGTTCTACCCTATCAGGTCAAGGCAGTTTCTTTATTAACCAATGGTATTCACAGCATAAAGAGGGGAATCCCACATCAAGCTAGGAAATTCTTTATAAACAGAAAAACTCTGTGAGTTGCAAGTGAGATGTTTGCAAGGGACAGTGCAGATTCCAGCTGCGGCATTGAGTCAAAGGAGAACAATAATGGCCTTTAGTGGATATGGGCCAGAGATGCTAAAGAGCCTCTGATTGCAAATAAGAGTCTCCTACCACAAAGCACTCCTAGCAAAGGTAGCCAGAGCTAGCAACAGTGACCTGAGAGATTCTAAAGAGGCAATGTCCAATAAACTTTCTGCACTGACCAAAATGCTCTGTGTGTATGCCTTCCAAAGCAATAGCACACATAGCCTGTTGGGCACATAACTAAATAACTAAAGGACTGATATATAAATTATATTTAATTTTAATGAATTTAACTTTAAACGTGTGGCTGATGGTGTTCATACCATATAGCATGGCTGGCTCATATCAAAATTGCCCCTTGTGCTGCCTATGTCAGGAACATTGACATAGTGATGCAAAAGTAACTA